AGAACAAAATTAAAAGTCTCGCCAGGCAGCCGAAGCCGGGGAGCAAAAGGAGCACGTCCGGCCCATGACAGCGAAGCTTGTGCTTGAAGGAGGCCATGCCCACGTCATGCCGCAGCCTGGGCAGCCTTGGTGGTGGGCAGGGGCCCGAGGTGAGTCCATCCCAGCCGGTCCTCACCACCGATGCCAGCGCCCCAGGGTCCCCAGGAGGGGCCTCCCTCCCTCCAGAACTCCAGCGGCCCCACCCAACATGAGCCACCTGCACTGGGCTCCTGCAGCCAGCCAGGACAAGACTGAACTGCAGGCCTGGGAGGATTCCTCACCCACGGGACAAGAGGCAGCCCCCACCCCACCCCACCTCCATGAGTAATAAATAAAAGAGGGGCTGTGGGCCTCAGTGGGGCCTGGACGCACACTCACAGGTGCCTGGCAGGGCCCTGAGGCCGGTGAGCCAGAAGCAGGAATGTGGAACAAGACAAGTGACACGGCGACGCTTCTCGAGATGACAGTCAGCGCCCCGTAGGCACGGGGGCCCGGCCACCACTAATGGGATCAAACGCTGACACCGTTTGATCAAAGGATTCCCAGGAACGTGCCTAGGGCAGAGGAAAGTCGAACGCTTACCCAGAACCAAAGTTGGAGGTGGTCAAGTATTTGGAGCACGGCTGCTGAGAGCAATTTCACTTAAAGTGGAGTATGCACTGCTTCCTCTCCACCTCGGCTGTGATTCCCTGGCCTTTCCCTGGCCTCGGTGGTTTTGTGGGTTTTTGTTTTGTTTTGTTTTGTTTTCAGACAAAGCTTTCTTGTCCTGGAGCCGTGGAGGAGCCTGGGAGCACTTCCCAGAGGACGTTCGAGATCCACTACTGCCGGGACCGCTTCCTCAAGGATGGCCAGCCCTTCCGCTACATCTCGGGGAGCATCCACTGCTTCCGCGTGCCCAGCTTCCACTGGAAGGACCGGCAGCTGAAGATGAAGATGGCGGGGCTGAACGCCATCCAGACGGGGGTCTCCCTGCTTGGCTGTTGGAGCAAGAGTCCACCGTTCTCCGCTCTTCTGACCCAGATTACCTCGCGGCTGTGGACAAGTGGCCGGCGTCCTTCTGCCCAAGAGGAAGCCTCTGCTCTATCAGAGTGGAGGGCTGAGTATACCTGTGCAGGTTGGAAATGAATATGGCAGCTACTTCTCCCGTGACTATGACTACCTGCGTTTCCTGCAGAAGAGCTTCCACTACTACCTGGGTGACAACGTGCTTCTGTTCACCACCGACAGTGCACAGAAGAAGTTCCTGCAGTGCGGGCGCTGCAGGGCCTCTATGCCACAGTGGACTTTGGTGTAGGTAACAACATCACAGATGCTTTCCAAATCCAGAGGACTCTTGGTCAATTTTGAATTCTATGCTGGCTTGTTAGACCACTGGGGCAAACAGCACTGGACAGTCCAGAGTGAAGCAGTGGCTTCTGCCCTCTATGACATCGTTGCCCGGCGAGCGAATGTGAACACGTACATGTTTATAGGTGGGACCCATTTTGCCTATTGGAACAGGGCCAACACGCCCTACACATCACAGCCTACCAGCTACGCCTATGATGCCCCGCTGAGTGAGGCAGGGGACCTCACCAAGAAGTATTTTGCTCTGCGGAAGGTTATCGGGAAGTTTGCAGCATTACCAGAAGGTCCCATTCCTCCACCCACACCAAAGTGTGCATATGGAACAGTCCCGCTGAAAAAGTGAAGGGCAGTGGACATGGCTCTGGATGTCCTGTGTCCCTCTGGGCCCATCAACAGTGTTTATCCCCTGACGTGTACCCAGGTGAAACAGTACTTTGGCTTTGTGCTGTACCGGACAACACTGCCTCGGGACTGCAGCAATCCTACACCCCTCTCTTCACCCCTCAATGGAGTCCACGACCGGGCCTGAGTCGCTGTGGATGGGATTCTGCAGGGAGTGCTGGGGCGAAACCACGTGCTCACGGTGAGCATACAAGGGAAGGCTGGAGCCAGGCTGGACCTCCTGGTGGAGAACATGGGGCACGTGCACTACCGCAAAGCCATCAACGACTTTAAGGGCTTGATTTCCAACTTGACCCTGGGTTCCTGCATCCTCACAAACTGGACCATCTTCCCCCTGGACACCGGGAGGGCAGTGAGCAGCCTCCTGGGTACTGGGGTGGCCGCCAGAAGGACGCCAGTGCCTGCAGCTCCCGGAACTACATGCTGCCAGCCCTTTACACTGGGAACTTCTCCATCCCCAGTGGGGTCCCGTCCCTGCCCCAGGACACCTTTATCAAGTTCCCGGGTGGACCAAGGGTCAGGTGTGGGTCAACGGCTTCAACCTCAGCCACTACTGGCCAGCGTGCGGGCCCCAGGTGACCTTGTTTGTGCCAAAGCACCTCCTCAGCACCTCGACCCCCAACACCATCACGGTGCTGGAGCTGGAGCGCGCACCCTGCGGCGAGCATGGCCAGGGCGCCATGGAGCTCATGGACAGGCCCATTCACAATACCACCGCCTCTCGGGGCCTGATGAGACCCACAGTGTTCAAGTCACAACTAGAGCCTTAGGAGACTGAAGGCTGTGCACGGTGGGGTCCAGCACCCCCACATCCCAGATAAGAAAACCCCGTCAGGTCTACACCTGCCAGAGAAGTCCACTATAAAGTGAATCTGGTTCCCAGCGTGGGTCTTCCTGGTGCTGGGACAGCCCCGGGCGTGGGAGGCAGCTGACAGCACAGGCTGCTGTGCAAGCCCGCAGGTGTTCCAGTTTTTATTTTGGAAGAACCATGTTGTCTTTTTTTGTTAAATAAAATTTGAACTTGGATGATGAAAAAAAAAACGCCCCGGGGTTGGGCATCAGAGGTCCTGGGTGCCCGGGAGGGGGCTGTGCATCACCGAAGGGGCCGGGCATCAAGTGTCCGGGGTGCCAGGGAGGGGGCCAGGTGTCAGGGGTCCCGGGTGCCAGGGAGGGGGCAGGACATTGGGGGTCCTGGGTGCCAGAAAAGAGGCTGGGCAGCAGGAGACCTAGGTGCCATGGAGGAGGCCGGACACCCGGGGTCAAGGGGTCAAGGGCCAGGCATCAGGGATCCTGGGGCCCAGGAGGGAGCTGGGAGAAGGGGGTCTCGGGTACCAGGGTAGGGGCTAGGCATCAGGGGTCCAGGTTGCCAGGGAGGAGGCCGGAGCTCAGAGGTCTTGGGTGACAAGGAGGGAGCCAAGAATCGGGGGTCCAGGGTGCCAGGGAAGGGGCCAGGCATCAGGGGTCCCGGGTGCCAGGGAGGGAGCCGGGTGTTAGGGATCTCGGGTGCCTGGGAGGGGGCTGGGCGTCGGGGAAGGAGCCAGGCCTCTGGGGTCTGGGGTGCGAGGGAGCGTGCCAGGTGTTGGGGGTCCTGGGTGGCAGGGAAGGGGCTGGGCGGCAGGGGTCCTGGGTGCTAGGGAGGGGCCCAGGTGGCGGGGGTACTGGGTGCAAGGGAGGAGGCTGGACATGCGGGGTCATGGGTGTCAAGGAGGGGGCCCGGCATCAGGATCCAGGGGCTCAGGAAGGAGCCTCAGGTCGGGGGTCTGGGGTGCCCAGGTGGGGGCCAGGCGTTGGGGGTCCCTGGTGGTAGGGAGGGCACTGGGCGTCAGGGGTCCCAGGTAACAGGGAAGGGGCTGGGCGTCTGGGGTCCCGAGTGACAGAGAGGGGCCAGGCATCAGGGGTCCTGGGTACCAGAGTGGAGGCCTGGCAACAGGGATTTCGAGAGACAGGGAGGGGCCGGACGTCCAGGGTCCTGGGTCACAGGGAAGGGGCAGGGTGTCGGGGATCTGCGGTTCCAGGAAGGGTGCTGGATGTCAGGAGTCCCGAGTGACAGGGAGGGCCAGGTGTCTGGGGTCACAGGTGCCAGGGAGGGGGCCAGGCATCGAGGATCCTGGGTGTCAAGTAGGGCGCCAGGCTTTGGGGATCCCAGGGCCCAGGAGGGAGCCAGGCGTTGGGGTTCCAGGTACCAGGGTAGGGGCTGGGCATCGGGGGTCCGGGGTGCCAGGGAGGAGGCCTGGCTTCAGGTGTCCAGGGTGTAAAGGAGGGGGCCAGGCGTCCTGGATCCAGGGGCCCAGGAAAGAGCCGTGGATCGGGGGTCCAGGGTGCCAGGGTGGGGGCCAAGCATGGAGTTCGAGAGTCCCGGGTGCCAAGTAGGAGCTGGGCATCTGGGTTCCTGGGCTCTAGGGAAGAGGCCCAGCGTCATTGGTCCTGGGAGTCAAGGAGGGGGCCCAGCATCCAGGATCGGGAGCCTGGCGTCGGGGGTCCAGGGTGTCAGGGAGGGGGCCAGGCTTCGGGGGCCCCGGGTGCCAGGGATGGGGCCAGGCATCTAGGGTCCCGAGTGACAGAGAGGTGCCGGGTGTCAGGGGTCCCAGGTACCAGGGTGGAGACCTGGCATCAGGGGTCCCAAGTGATAGGGAGGGGCTAGAGTTCCAGGTCCTGGGTACCAGGGAAGGGGCAGGGCATTGGGGAAGGGGCTGGGTGTCGGGGATCTGGGGTGCCAGGGAGGGGGCAGGACGTCGGGAGTCCCAAGTGACAAAAAGGGCCAAGTGTCGTGGGTCACTGTTGCCAAGGAGGGGGTCGGGTGTCCCAGGTGCTAGGGAGGAGCTGGGTGTCCTGGGTCCTGGGTGCCAGGGAAGGGGCCGGGCATCAGGGAAGGGGCCAGGCGTCTGGGGTCCTGGGTGTCAGGGAAGGGGTCAGGGGTCCCGGGCAGCATCCACCAGTTCTGCTTTTCCCCTGTGGGGACTCACCAAGTCGAGGTCCTCAGCTCTTAGGTGCCTGGCAACCCCCAGTATGCGAAGGTAGAGCCACGTGTCAGGGGTCCGGGGTGCCAGGGAGGGAGCCAGGCATCAGGGATCCTGGGGCCCAGGAGGGAGGCGGGCAATAGGGGTTCCGGGTACAGGGTAGGTGCTTGGCATCAGGGGTCCAGGGTGCCAGGGAGGAGGCCAGCGTCAGGGGTCTCATGTACCAGGGATGGGCCAGCCTCTGGGGTCCTGAGTGACAGAGAGGGGCTGGGCTTCAGGGGTCCTGGGTACCAGGGAGGAGGCCAGGCATCAGGGGTCCCGAGTGACAGGGAGGGCCAGACTTTGGGGGTCTTGGGTACCAGAGAAGGGGCTGGGCATCTGGGAAGGGGCCAGGTGCCGAAGATCCGGGGTGCCAGGGTGGAGGCCGGACGTTGGGAGTCCAGAGTGAAAGGTAGGACCAGCCGTTGGTGGTCCCGCTGCCAGGGAGGTTGTAAGGGGGTCCCGGGTGACAGGGAGGAGCTGGGCATCCAGGGTCCCGGGTGCCAGGGAAGAGGCCTGGTGTCAGCGTCCCCGGTGCCAGGGAAGAGGCCAGGCGTCAGGGGTTCCCAGTGTCAAGGAGGGGGCCAGGAGTCTGGGATCCCAGGGCCCAGGAGGGAGCTGGGCAATGCTAGTCCCAGGTACCAGGGAAGGGGCTGGGCGTCAGGGGTCCAGGGTGCCACAGAGGATCCCAGGCCTCAGAGTTCCGGGGTGCCAGGGAGGTGGCCAGTCATCGGGGGTTCTGGGTGCCAATGAGGGGCCGGGCATCAGGGTTTCCAGGTACCATGGATAGGGGCCAGGTGTCTGGGGTCCTGAGTGTCAAGGAGGGACCGGGCGTCAGGTGTCACAGGTGCCAGGGCGTGATCGGGGGTCCTGGGTGCCAGGGAGGTGTCAGGTGTTGGTGTCTAGGTGCCAGGGAGAGGCCGGAATCGAGGGTCCTGGGTGCCAGGGAAGAGGTTGGGTGTCGGGGACCTGGGTACCAGGGAGGGGTGGGCGTCTGGGGTCCCAAGTGACAGAGAGTGGCCGGGCGTTGGGGGTCCCAGGTGCACGGGAGGGGGCTGGGCATTGTGGAAGGGGCTGGGCATCGGTGGTCCATGGTGCCATTGAGGGGCATAGGGGTCGGGGATCCTGGGGCCCAGGAGGGAGCCGGGTGATGGGGGCCCTGGTTACCAGGGTAGGGGCTGGGCATTGGGTGTCTGGGTTGCCAGGGATTTGGCCAGGCGTCAGGGAGGGCCAGGTGCCCGGGAGGGTGCTTGCTGGGCGTCGGGGAAGGGGCCAGGTGTCTGGGGTCCGGGGTTTGAGGGAAGAGGCCAGGTGCTGGGGGTCCTGGGTGCCAGGGAAGAGGCCAGGTGCTGGGGATCGGGACTGCCAGGGTTGGGGCCAAACGTCGGGAATCCAGAGTGACAGGAAGGGCTGGGTGTTGGGGGACATGGGTGCCAGGGAGGGTGTAGGGGTTCCCAGGTGCCCGGAGGAGCTGGGCGTCCATGGTCCCAGGTGCCTAGGAAGTGGTTGGGCATCAGGGTCCCGGGTGCCAGGAGGAGGCCGGGCCTCAGGGGTTCCTGGTGTCAAGGAGGGAGCCAGGCGTCTGGGATCCCGTGGCCCAGGAGTGAGCCAGGCGTCAGGGGTACAGGGTGACAGGGAGGGGGCCATTCCTTAGGGATCCTGGGCCCAGGATGGAGTCGGGCGGTGGGGGTTCCACGTACAGGGTAGGTGCTGGGCGTCTGGGGACCAGGGTGCCAGGGAGGAGGCCTGGCATCAGGGGTCCTGGGTGTCAAGGAGGGGGCCAGGCGTCGGGGGTCCTGGGGCCCAGGAGGAACCGGGCATTAGGGATCCCGGGTGTCAAGGAAGGGGGCAGGTATCGGGAGTCCCGAGTGACAGGGAGGGCTGGCTGTTGGGGGTCATGGGTGTAATGGAGGTGGTCAGGGGGCCCGGTTGCCAGGGAAGAGGCCAGGCATCAGGGGTCCCGGGCATCAAGGAGGGAGCCAGGATTCAGGTATCCTGGATCCAGGAGGGAGTCATGTGATGGGGGTCCCAGGTACCAGGGAAGGGGTTGGGCATTGATGGTCCAGGGTGCCAGAGAGGGGCCCGGGCATTGGGGATTCCGGGAGACAGGGAAGGTGCTGGGCATCAGGAGTCCCACGTACCAAGGAGGGGCCCGGTTTTCTGGGGTCCAAAGTGACACAGAGTTGCCAGGCATCGGGGGTCACGGTTGCCAGGGAGGAGGTTCAGGGTCCCGGGTGCCAGGGAGGGGGCTGGGCGTCTGGGGTCCCGAGTGACAGGGAGGGGCCAGGTGTCGGGGGTCCTGGGTGCCCGGGAGGGGGCTGGGTGTCAGGGAAGGGACCGGGCCTCAAGGATCCGGGATGCCAGAGAGGGGGTCAGGTGTCAGGGGTCCCAGGTGCCAAGGAGGGGGTAGGACATTGGGGGTCCTGGGAATCGGGGAAGGGGCCAGTCGGCAGGGGACCTAGGTGCCAGGCAGGAGGCTGGACATCCGGGGTCACAGGTGTCAAGAAGGGGGCCAGGCGTTGGGGATCCTGGGGCCCAGAGGGTGCCAGAAGGGGGTCCCAGGTACCAGGGTAGGGGCTGGGCGTTCGGGGCCCATGGTGCCAGAAGGAGGCTGGGCGTCAGAAGTCTAGGGTGACAAGGAGGGGGCCAGGCTTCGGGCATCCCGGGGCCCAGGAGGGAGCTGGGTGTCAGGGGTTCAGGGTGCCAGGGAGGGGGCTGGGCTTCAGGGGTCCCGTGTACCATGGAGGGGGCTGGGCGGCTGGAGTCCCAAGTGACAGAGAGGGTCTGGGCGTCAAGGGTCCCGTGTACCAGGGAGGAGGCCAGGCATCAGGGGTCCCAGGTGACAGGGAGGGCCCGGAGGAGGAGAGTCTGAGTAGGGGCTCAGCATCTGGAGTCTCATGTGCCAGGGAGGGGGCTGGGCATCAGGGATCCTGAGTACCAGGAAAGCAGCTGTGCATTGGGGAAGAGGCTGGGTGTTGGGGATCCAGGGTGCCAGGGAGGGGGCCAGGCGGCTTGGGTCCCCAGTGACAGAGACTGGCCAGGCATCAGGGGTCCCGTGTACCAGGTTGGAGGCCGGGCGTCAGAAGTGTAGGGTGACAAGGAGGGGCTGGATAGGGGGTCCTGGGTACCAGGGAAGGGGCTGGGAGTCAGGGAAGAGGCCAGGTGTTGGGGATCCGGAGTGCCATTGAGGGGCCGGAAGTCGGGAGTCTCAAGTCACAGGGAAGGCCAGGTGTTGCGGGTCACCAGTGCCAGGGAGGGGGTCAGGAATCCCGGTGCCAGGGAGGAGCTGGGCGTCCAGGGTCCTGGGTGCCATGGAGAAGCCAGGCGTCGGGGTACTGGGTGCCAGGGAGGAAGCCGGCGTCAGGGATCCCGGGTACCAGGGAGGGGGCTGGGTGCCAGGGAAGGGACCGGACCTCAAGGATCCGGGGTGCCAGGGTGGGGGTCAGGTGTCGGGGGTCCCAGGTACCAAGGTGGGGGTAGGACGTTGGGGGTCCTGGGAACCGGGGAAGGGGCCGGTCGGCAGAGGACCTAGGTGCCAGGCAGGAGGCTGGACATCCGGGGTCACAGGTGTCAAGAAGGGGGCCAGGCGTCGGGGATCCTGGGGTCCAGAGGGTGCCAGGAGAAGTGGGTCCCAGGTACCAGAGTAGGGGCTGGGCGTCGGGGGCCCAGGGTGCCAGGGAGGAGGCCGGGCGTCAGAAGTCTAGGGTGACAAGGAGGGGGCCAGGCTTCAGGCATCCCGGGGCCCAGGAGGGAGCTGGGCGTCAGGGGTTCGGGGTGCCAGGGAGGGAGCTGGGCTTCAGGGGTCCTGTGTACTATGGAGGGGGCTGGGCGACTGGCGTCCGGAGTGACAGAGAGGGTCTGGGCATCAGGGGTCCCAGGTACCAGGGAGGAGGCCAGGCATTAGGGGTCCCGAGTGACAGGGAAGGGCCGGGGAGGAGGGTATGATAGAGTAGGGGCTCAGCATCTGGAGTCCCAGGGAGGAGTTCGAGAGTCCCGGGTGCCAGGGAGGAGCTAGGCATCCGGGTCCTGGGTGCTAGGGAAGTGGCCCGGCGTCATTGGTCCAGGGAGTGGTCTGGGCATCAGGGATCCTGAGTACCAGGAAAGCAGCTGTGCATCGGAGAAGAGGCCGGGTGTTGGGGATCCGGGGTGCCATGGAGGGGGCCTTGTGGCTTGGGTCCCCAGTGGCAGAGACTGGCCAGGCATCAGGGGTCCCGTGTACCAGGTTGGAGGCCGGGCGTCAGAAGTCTAGGGTGACAAAGAGGGGCCGGATAGGGGGTCCTGGGTACCAGCGAAGGGGCTGGGCAACAGGGAAGAGGCCAGGAGTTGGGGATCCGGGATGCCTTTGAGGGGCCGGAAGTCGGGAGTCTCAAGTCACAGGGAAGGCCAGGTGTCACAGGTCACTGGTGCCAGGGAGGGGGTTGGGGTCCCTGGTGCTAGGGAGGAGCTGGGCGTCCAGGGTCCTGGGTGCCATGGAGAGGCCAGGCGTTGGGGTCCCGGGTGCCAGGGAGGGGTTCGAGAGTCCCGGGTGCCATGGAGGAGCTGGGCATCCGGGTTCCTGAGTGCTAGGAAAGTGGCCCATCTCATTGGTCCTGGGAGTCAAGGAGGGGGCCAGGCGTCCAAGATCGGGTGCTCGGCATCGGGGGTCCAGGGTGTCAGGGAGGGGGCCAGGCTTCGGGATCCCGGATGCCAGGGATGGGGCCGGGCATCTGGGGTCCCGAGTGACAGAGAGGTGCCAGGTGTCAGGGGTCCTGGGTACCAGGGTGGAAGCCTGGCGTCAGGGGTCCTGAGTGACAGGGAGGGGGCAGAGGTCTGGGTCCTGGGTACCAGGGAAGGGGCAGGGCATTGGGGAAGGGGCCGGGTGTCTGGGATCTGGGGTGTCAGGGAGGGGGCAGGACGTCGGGAGTCCGAAGTGACAGTAAGGGCCAAGCGTCGTGGGTCACTGTTGCCAGGGAGGGGGTCGGGGATCCCAGGTGCTAGGGAGAAGCTGGGTGTCCTGGGTCCTGGGTGCCAGGGAAGGGGCCGGGTGTCACGGGTCCCTGGTACCAGGGAAGGGGCTGGGTGTCTGGGGTCCCAAGTGAAAGGAAGTGCCAGCCATCGGGTGTCACGGTTGCCAGAGAGGTGGTCAGGGGTCCCAGGTGCCAGGGAGGGGTTGGGCGTTGGGGTCCAGGTGCCAGGGACGGGGCTGGATGTAGAGGGTCATGGGTTTCAAGGAGGGGGCTAGGCATAAGGGATCCCGGGGCCCAGGAGGGAGCTGGGCGTCGGGGGTTCTGGGTGCCAGAGAGGGGGCCAGGCCTTGGGGATTGCGGGACCCAGGAGGGAGCCGGGCAATGGGGGTCTCAGGTACCAGGTTGTGGCCAGGCAAAGGGGGTCCTGGATTCCAGGGAAGGGCTGTCGTCCGGGGTCCCGGGTGCCAGAGAAGTGGCTGGGCGTAGGGGAAGGGGTCGGGCGTGGGGGTCCCCGGTGTCAGGGAAAGGGTCAGGTGTCCAAGGCAGCTTCCAGCAGTTCTGCTATCCCCTCCATCGGGACTCACCATGTCGAGGTCCTCAGCTCCTAGGTGACTGGCGACCCCCAGCAGGGGAACTTGGAGAGCACAGACCCCCACTGGGCTCTAGAGCTTCTAGGCAGCGCAGCCTTCTCCTGGGACCTCGCTCCACAGAGGAACTCTAAGACCACTGTGACGTCAAGATCCCATGTGATGACATCACTGAGCCTGATTGGACGGGGACGCACACAGCGTCACAAAAGACGCAGCCAATCAGCATTCTTCAAGGCGTGGCTCCCTAACCGGTCTGTGCTTGGAGTGAATCAGGAGAGGTGGGAAGCGGCCCCCTGCCCTCCTCCTGGGCTCCTCTCCGCGTGGTGCACCTGCCACCCGCTGGGGTCGCCCCGGGGTCGCCCCATGCTTCTCGCAGGCGGATCCTGGCTGCAGCTGGCGGTCACCTGCTTCAGGTGAGTTAAAATTCTGCTCAAGGCTTAGGGGCTTTCTCTTTGTCTTCAGATTTCTGCTCATTTTTCTGTTGGGCCATTTGTATCATGTTTTAATAGTGATTTGAAGAATGCTTAAAGGCATCACATAATTGAAGCCTTTTTCCCCCCTGTCAATATATGTTGTCCACTCTGCCTACTGACCTTTAATATCTTCTATTTGTTTCTTGCCGGTGCTTGGTAATCTAGTGGATTTTAAACATATCGATCTTTCCTGAAATCTCATTCAATTCATTTATCAGTTTTTACTTTTAGATGTTATGGATTCTCTCTAAATAAAGATCTCCAATATACTGAGATTTTATTGCTTAGAAATTGATCTTTACACCTTAGTTTTTCCTTTTGTTCTTTTTCCCCCCTCTCTGACTACTCCTCTAGAAGAAGGCTGCAGTGCAAGCTCCACAGGTGTTCCAGTTTTCATTTTGGAAGAATCACGTTGTATTTTTTGTGAAATAAAATTTGTACTTGGATGTTGAAAGAAAAAAAAAAAAACAGCCCAGGGTCAGGCGTTTGGGGTCCGGGTGCAAGGGAGGGGGCTGGGTGTCTGGGGTCCCAAGTGACAGGGAGAGCCCAGGTGTCAGGGGTCCTGGGTGCCCGGGAGGGGGCTGGGTGTCAGGGAAGGGACCGGGCCTCAAGGATCCGGGGTGCCAGAAAGGGGGTCAGGTGTTGGGGGTCCCTGGTGCCAAGGTGGGGGTAGGACGTTGGGGGTCCTGGGAACCGGGGGTGCCGGTCAGCAGGGGACCTAGGTTCCAGGCAGGAGGCTGGACATCCGGGATCACAGGTGTCAAGAAGGGGGCCAGGTGTCGGGGGTCCTGGGTGCCCGGGAGGGGGCTGGGTGTCGGAAGGTACCGGGCCTCAAGGATCCGGGCTGACAGGGAGGGGGTCAGGTGTCGGGGGTCCCAGGTGCCAAGGAGGGGGTAGGACGTTGGGGGTCCTGGGGGTCCCAGGTACCAGGATAGAGGCTGGGCGTCGGGGGCCCATGGTGCCAGGGAAAGGCCGGGCGTCAGAAGTCTAGGGTGACAAGGAGGGGGCCAGGCTTTGGGCATCCCGGGGCCCAGGAGGGAGCTGGGTGTCAGGGGTTCAGGGTGCCAGGGAGGGGGCTGGGCTTCAGGGGTCCTGTGTACCATGGAGGGGGCTGAGCGGCTGGAGTCCCGAGTGACAGAGAGGGGCTGGGCATCAGGGGTCCCAGGTACCAGGGAGGAGGCCGGGCATCAGGGGTCCTGGGTACCAGGGAATCAGCTGTGCATCGGGCAAGAGGCCGGGTGTTGGGGATCCGGGGTGCCAGGGAGGGGGCCGGGTGGCTTGGGTCCCCAGTGACAGAGACTGGCCAGGCATCAGGGGTCCCGTGTACCAGGGAGGAGGCAAGGTATCAGGGGTCCTGAGTGACAGGGAGGGGCCAGAGGAGGAGGGTCTGAGTAGGGGCTCAGCGTCTGGAGTCCCGGGTGCCTGGGAGTGGGCTGGGCATCAGGGGTCCTGGGTACCAGGGAAGCAGCTATGCATCGGAGAAGAGGCCGGGTGTTGGGGATCCAGGGTGCCAGGGAGGGGGCCAGGCGGCTTGGGTCCCCAGTGACAGAGACTGGCCAGGCATCAGGGGTCCCGTGTATCAGGGAGGAGGCCGGGCGTCAGAAGTGTAGGGTGACAAGGAGTGGCTGGATAGGGGTCCTGGGTACCAGGGAAGGGGCTGGGCATCTTGGAAGGGGCCAGGTATTGGGGATCCGGAGTGCCATGGCGGGGTCAGACATTGGGAGTCCCGTTGACAGGAATGGCCGGGCGTTGGGGGTCATGGGTGCTAGGGAGGGTATAGGGGTCCTGGGTGCCAGGGAAGAGCTGGGTGTCCAGGGCCACTGTGCCAGGAAAGTGGCCGGGCATCAGGATCCTGGGTGCCAGGGAAGAGGCTGGGCGTCAGGGGTTCCTGGTGTCAAGGAGGAGGCCAGGAGTCTTGGATCCCGAGGCCCAGGAGGGAGCCAGGCGATGGGGGTCCTAGGTACCATGCAAGGGGTTGGGCGTTGGGGGTCCGGGGTGCCACAGAGGATACCAGGCTTTGGGGGTCCGGGGTGCCAAGGAGGGTCCAGGAGTCAGGTGTCCCGGATGTCAGGGAAGGGGCCAGGTGTCAGGCGTCCCAGGTACCATGGATGGGGGCCAGGTGTCTGGGGTCCCAAGTGACAGGGGGAGGCCAGGCGTCGGGTGTCACTGGTGCCAGGGAGGTAGTCAGGGGTCCTGGGTGCAAGGGAAGGGTCGGGCGTTGGGGTCCGGGTGCCAGGTTGGGGCCAAGATTGATGGTCCTGGGTGCCAGGGAAGAGGCTGGACATCGGGGTCCGGGGTACCAGGGAGGGGCAGGCGTCTGGGGTCCCAAGTGACAGAGAGGGGTGGCCATTGGGGGTCCCGGGATGTGGGAGGGGGCTGGGCATCGGGGAATGGGCTGGGCGTCCCTGGTCCATGGTGCCATTGAGGGGGATAGGGGTCCGGGATCCTGGAGCCCAGGAGGGAGACGGGTGATGGGGATCCTGGTTACCAGGGTAGGAGCTGTGCATCCGGGCTCCAGGGCTCCAGGGAGGAGGCCAGGCTTCCGGGGATCCGGGTGTCAAGGAGGGGGCCAGACATCATGGAATCTGGTGCCCAGGAGGGTGTTGGGCGTCAGGGGTCCTGGGTACCAGGGAGGAGGCCAGGCATCAGGGGTCCTGAGTGACAGGGAGGGCCAGACTTTGGGGGTCCTGGATACCAGAGAAGGGGCTGGGCATTGGGAAGGGGCCAGGTGCCGGAGATCCAGGGTGCCAGGGTGGAGGCCGGATGTCGGGAGTCCAGAGTGAAAGGAAGGACCAGGCATTGGTGGTCTTGGGTGCCAGGGAGGTTGTAAGGGGGTCCCGGGTGACAGGGAGGAGCTGGGCATCCAGGGTCCCGGGTGCCAGGGAAGAGGCCTGGTGTCAGCGTCCCCGGTGCCAGGGAAGAGGCAGGGCATCAGGGGTTCCCAGTGTCAAGGAGGGGGCCAGGAGTCTGGGATCCCGGGGCCCAGGAGGGAGCTGGGTAATGCTAGTCCCAGGTACCAGGGAAGGGGCTGGGCGTCAGGGGTCCGGGGTGCCACAGAGGATCCCAGGCCTCAGGATTCTGGGGTGCCAAGGAGGTGGCCAGTCGTCGGGGGTCCTGGGTGCCAAGGAGGGGCCGGACCTCGAGATCCTGGTTCCCTGTGAAGGGTCCAGGCATCAGGGTTTCCAGGTACCATGGATAGGGGCCGGGCATCGGGTGTCACGGGTGCTAGGGAGGTGATCAGGGGTCCCAGGTGCCAGGGAGGTGTCAGGCATTGGTGTCCAGGTGCCAGGGAGGGGCCAGGCGTCAGGGGTCTCGTGTACCCAGGAGGGTGCTGGGCGTCGGGGAAGGGGCCAGGTGTCTGGGGTCCGGGGTTTGAGGGAAGAGGCCAGGTGCTGGGGGTCCTGGGTGCCAGGGAAGAGGCCAGGTGCCGGGGATCCGGGCTACCAGGGTGGGGGCCAAACGTCGGGAATCCAGAGTGACAGGAAGGGCTGGGGGTTGGGGGACATGGGTGCCAGGGAGGGTGTAGGGGTTCCCGGGTGCCCAGAGGAGCTGGGCGTCCATGGTCCCAGGTGCCTAGGAAGTGGCTGGGCATCAGGGTCCCAGGTGCCAGGAGGAGGCCGGGCCTCAGGGGTTCCCGGTGTCAAGGAGGGAGCCAGGCATCTGGGATCCCGTGGCCCAGGAGTGAGCCAGGCGTCAAGGGTACAGGGTGACAGGGAGGGGGCCATTCCTTAGGGATCCTGGGCCCCGGAGGGAGTCGGGCGGTGAGGATTCCACGTCCAGGGTACGTGCTGGGCATCTGGGGACCAGGGTGCCAGGGAGGAGGCCTGGCATCAGGGGTCCTGTGTGTCAAGGAGGGGGCCAGGCATCAGGGGTCCCGGGGCCCAGGAGGAACCGGGCATCAGGGGTCCTGGGTGTCAAGGAGGGGGTCAGGCTTTGGGAGTCCCGAGTGACAGGGAGGGCGGGGTGTTGGGGGTCATGGGTGAAATGGAGGTGGTCGGGGGGCCCAGTTGTCAGGGAAGAGGCCAGGCATCAGGGGTCCTGGGCATCAAGGAGGGAGCCAGGATTCAGAGATCCTGGATCCAGGAGGGAGTCGTGCGATGGGGGTCCCAGGTACCAGGGAAGGGGTTGGGCATTGAGGGTCTGGGGTGCCAGAGAGGGGCCTGGGTGTTGGGGCTCGTGGGTGCCAGGGAAGGGGCCGGACGTCGGGATCCTGGGTGCCAGGGAAGGTACTGGGCGTCAGGGGTCCCAGGTACCAAGGAGGGGCCCAGTTGTCTGGGGTCCCAAGTGACACAGAGTTGCCGGGCATTGGGGTCATGGTTGCCAGGGAGGAGGTTGGGGGTCTTGGGTGCCAGTGAGGGGTCAGGCATTGGGGTCTGGGTGCAGGGAGGGCCCAGGATCGAGGGTCCTGGGTGCAGGGAAGAGGCCGGTTATTGGGGGTCCCGGGTGTCATGGAGGTGGCCAGGCTTCTGGGATCCCAGGTTCCAGGAGGGAACCGGGCGATGGGGGTCCCTGGTACCAGGGAAGGGGCTGGGCATCAGGGTTCCGGGGTGCCACAGAGGGGCCTGGTCCTCGGGGTTCTGGGGTGCCATGGAGGGGGCCAGGCATTAGGTGTCCTGGGTTCCAGGGAGGGGCTGCACGTTAGGATCCCGAGTGAAAGGGAGTGGCCGGGAGTCGGGTGTCATGGGTGCCAAGGAGGTCGTCGGGGGTCCCGGGTGCCAAGGAAGGGGTCGGGCATCTGGGATCCCGAGTGTCAGGGAAGGGCCAGGCGTCCAGGGTCCACGGGTCCCCGGAAGTGGGCTGGGTGTCAGGGAAGGGGCCGGGCATCAGGGGTCCGGGGTGCCATGGAGGGGCCCTGGTGTCGCGATCCTGGGTGCCAGGAAAGAGGCCGGACATCCAGGGTCACGGGAGTCAAGGAGAGGGCCAGGCATAGGGGATCCCGGGCCCTGGAGTGAGACAGGAGAAGGGGGTTCCCCGGTACCAGGGTAAGGGATTGGCATTGGGGATCCAGGGTGCCAGGGAGGAGACCGGGGTTCAGGGGTCCCAAGTGTCAAGGAGGGGGCCAGGCGTCATGGATCCCAGGGCCCAGGAGGTAAACGGGCATCGAGCATCCGCAGTACCAGGGAGGCGGCCAGGCGGCAGGGGTCCTGGGTGTCAAGGAGGGGGCCAGGCTTTGGGGATCCTGGGGCCCAGGAAGAAGCCAGGCGATGGGGGTCCAGGGTACTAGGGAAGGGGCTGGGCGTCGGGGGTCCGGGATGCCAGAGAGGGGCCCAGGCGTTGGGGGATCTGGGGTGCCAGGGAGAAAGCCAGGCATCGGTGGTCCCGGCTGCCAGGGAGGGGGCCGGACACCGGGTTCATGGGTGCCAGGGAAGGGGCCGGGCATCAGGCGTCCCAGGTACCATGGATGCAGGCCGGGTGTCCGGGGTCCCGAGTGACAGGGAGGGTCAGGACATTCGCTGTCACGGTTGCCAGGGAGGTGGTCGGGGGTCCCAGGTGCCAGGGAGGGGTTGGGTGGTGGGGTCCTGGTGCTAGGGAGGGGCTGGGATTGAGGGTCCTGGGTGCCAGGGAAGCAGCCAGGCATTGGGGTCCTGGTTGCCAGGGAGGAGGCCAGAAGTCAGGGGTCCCGGGTGTCAAGGAGGGGGCCAAGCTTTAGGGATCCCGGGGCCCAGGAAGAAGCTGGACGATGGGGCTCTCAGGTACCAGGAAAGGGGCTGGGCGTCGGGGGTCCGGGATGCCAGAGAGGGGCCGGGCACTGGGGGTCCAGGGTGCCAGAGAGGGGCCAGGCATCGGGGGTCTGGGATGCCAGAGAGCGGCTGGGCGTCAGGGGTCCAGGGTGCCAGAGAGAGGGCCAGGCGTCGGGGGTCCCGGGTGCCAGAGAGGGGACCAGATGTCAGGATCCTGGGTGCCAGGGAAGGGGCCGGACATCAGGGGACCCAGGTACCAGGGAGGGGGCCAGGTGTCTGGGGTCCGAGTGCCAGGGGCAGCACAGACAGTGGCTGATTATGGTCCCTGCTAAGCCCCAGAGCTGGAGCTGGGCCAAGTCCTAGGGCATCCCCAGCGTGGTCTTTCTTCTGTCGTTCCACTCTTTTTGTTGTTGTTGTTGTTGACTGTTTTTGTTTTTACTGGAGACTCAGGTGGCACATGACAGTTCATAGAACTGAAGGCATCCAGCTGAAGATGGAATCAGATGTCAGCAGGTGCTGATGGAACAGAGGAGGAGAGGGGGTGGCAGGGAGCTTCTCAAGCATGCGGCTGGTCAGCTAAGGTCAGGGTGGGGCTTGACCTTGGTCTTCTGCTCCTTGTCCAGTGTTCTTTCATTTCACTGCCGCTGCCTCCTTTGCACGGAGGTGTGACTGCAGAACCGGGAATCAGGGGTCCCAGGTGCCAGGGAGGGGGCTGGGTGTCAGGGGCCCCATGTACCAGGGAGGGGGCCGGGCGGCTGGGGTCCCAAGTGACTGTGAGGGGCTGGACTTTGTGGGTCCTGGGTACCAGGAAAGCAGCTGGGCATCGGGGAAGGGGCCAGGTGTCAGGGATCCGGGATGCCAGGGAGGGGGCCGGGCATCAGGGGTCCCTTGTACTAGGGAGGGGGCTGGGCGGCTGGGGTCCCGAGTGACAGAGAGTGGCTGAGCGTCAGGGGTCCCAGGTACCACAGTGGAGGCCTGGCACCAGGGGTCGTGAGAGACAGGGAGGGGCCGGACATCGGGGGTCCTGGTACCAGGGAAGGGGCTGGGCGTCGGGGAAGGGGCAGGGTGTCGGGGATCCGCGGTTCCAAGGAGGGTGCCGGATGTCAGGAGTCCCGAGTGACAGGGAGGGCCGGGTGTCGGGGGTCACAGGTGCCAGGGAGGGGGCCAGGTGTCGGGGGTCCTGGGTACCAGGGAGGAGGCCGGACATCGGCGGTCACTGTTGTCAAGGTGGGGGCCAAGTGTCTGGATCCCAGGGCCCGGAAGGGAGCTGGGCATCGGGGATCCATGGTGCCAGGGAGGGGGCCAGGCGTCGAGGATCCTGGGTGTCAAGTAAGGGGCCAGGCTTTGGGGATCCCGGGGCCCAGGAGGGAGTTGGGGGTTCCGGGTTCCAGGGTAGGGGCTGGGCATCAGGGGCCCGGGGTGCCAGGGTGGAGGCCTGGCTTCAGGCATCCAGGGTGTCAAGGAGGAGGCCAGGAGAGAGCCGGGCATCAGGGGTCCAGGGTGCCAGGGTGGGGGCCAGGTATCAAGGTTCTGGGTGCAAGGGAGGGGTTCGAAGTCCCAGGTGCTAGGGAAGAGTTGGGCGTCCAAATTCCTAGGTGCTAGGGAAGAGGCCCAGAGTCACTGGTCCTGGGAGTCAAGGAAGGGGTCAGGTGTCCAGGATCGGGAGCCCAGCGTCGGGGGCCCAGGGTGTCAGGGAGGGGGCATGTGTCTGGGGTCCTGAGTGACAGAGAGGGGCCGGGTGTCAGGGGTCCCAGGTACCAGGGTAAAGGCCTGGCGTCAGGGGTCCTGAGTGACAGGGAGGGGCCAGACTTCCAGGGTCCTGGGTACCACGGAAGGGGCAGGTCATTGGGGAAGGGGCCGGGTGTCAGGGATCTGGGGTGCCAGGGAGGGGGCTGGACATCAGGAGTCCCAAGTGACAGTAAGGGCCATTCTTCGGGGGTCACTGTTGCCAGGGAGGGGGTCGGGGGTCCCAGGTGCTAGGGAGGAGCTGGGTGTCCTGGGTCCCAGGTGCCAGGGAAGGGGCCGGGTGTCATGGGTCCCTGGTACCAGGGAAGGGGCTAATCTTACTCTAATCTTTTTTCTTAAAATATATTGGGCCTTTAGCTAGAATCTTTATGCCTCAGTTCTTTTTTTTTAAGATTTATTTATTTGACAGGCAGAGTTACAGAGGTAGAGACAGAGAGAGAGAGGTCTTCCATCTGATGGTTCACTCCCCAATCGGTTCCAACAGCTGAAGCTGTGCCAATCTGAAGCCAGGAGCCAGGAACTTCCTCCAGGTTTCCCACAAGGGTGCAGGGGCCCAAGGATTTGGGCCATCTTCTACCGCCTTTTCAGGCCATAGCAGAAAGCTGGATCGGAAGAAGAGTAGCCAGGACTTGAACAGGTGCCCACATGGGATGCCAGTGCCTCAGGCCAGAGCAATAACCCGCTCTGCCACAGCGCTGGCCCCATATGCCTCAGTTCTTAAGATCCAACTGATTCAACAGGTTTCAAAAATTATGAGGTCATCCTAAAGCTGTATTATAAATGTAAGTGTAATATTTGAGAAATATACCAATTTAGAGCTGAGAAAAAAGCCTAGTATAATGATTTTCAAATTCAATCTGATTGCATATCCAGGTCTGACAAATAAGCCAGGGACTGTATCTAGACATTAAGCAGAGGAACCATAGGCCCAGAGTCAAGTTTCCCCATTTGCACAACAAAATCTCTAGAGTAAACACCACCACTGTGTTGACTGGGCGAACACAGTGAGATTATGTGTATGAAAATAATTAAAAATATTCAGGTACTACAGAACTGCAAGTTTAACAACCACCACTATTATTGTCTGGGTTGTCCACAAAGTTGTTAATTTCCAAAATGCTTACAAGGTGTAGGACAGAGATGATACTGAGAGAGAATAAAATAGGTGTGTGACCATTCAAACCACTGCAATTCACACACTTGTGCAATTACCAACAGAAAAGCAGCCTGAACCTCCATTCAGTTTCTCAAGTAAAAATGGAAAGTTAAATGGGACTTGCAATAGCAAAAAAAAAAAAAAAAAAAAAAAAAAAAAAAAAAAAAAAAAAAAACTCCAGTCTAGATTAAAACAACTCCTGAAGAAAGAAAGCCTCAGGGTATAGTTCTTTCTGATAAGGGAAAAAAATGAATAGTTGAGATCCAAAGAGAAACAAAACAGAGACATTCCCTTGGTTTAAACCATGCATACGGAATAAATACTGAGTAAGCTGAATACTTCTGTCCTACAAACAATGCACTGTACACATGCATTTATGTTCCCAAAGGCTTGTCTGCACCCAAAGGCTTATTCCACATGAAAAGCACTGGAAACGACTGGCTTCCGACCAACCTATCCTGAAGGTTATCCTCAGCTTGATTCATCTAAACAAGTTCTCTTGCTGGCTACAGGCTCCTCACCTCCTGTCTCTTAGAGCACTTACTTTGGAAAATGTGCCATTCTAAATTCTTTGATTGGCCCTTTGAGATATCAATCTTTAAGAACCCAGGAGACATTCCTTAGCAATGCAATCAGCCAGGAAAGCTGAGAAGTTAATGCTCCATCTTCCATAAGCTGGTCAGCAAACACACCCTAATCCCCCGGGCACTCTTTCTACTCATGGCCTGGCCTCCAGTGCTTTCCCCTTGGTTCACCCTGGCACTTAAAACACTTGAGGCCTTTGTCAGAGTAGTTCAGCTCAGTCCTTGAACTTTAATGTAATGGCTTTGGCTGCTGTATTAATCGTGATGAATAATTCCTTGCTTGCCTTTTTAACATGGCCAGTGCAATTTTCCTTCGACATTTCCAGCTACAGGAGGGACTTTGCCACTTTTCAAACGTCTACCAGAGTAAGAAATAAAAAATACCATTACTGGACTAAACAGTTATTAAATACAACTTTTTGTTTGTTTAATGGTGGCAGTAATAGCAAATAATTCTATTTCACTCGGGAAACCTTGACTTAAAAGAAAATACCTTTATCAGCCCAGTGAACTTGCACATCCGAACTTACACAGAGCAGGCCCCAGCCCACCCTTCCAAAGATGCTGCCTGCTCTTTCCAACGTCTTCCCCAGACCAGTCTCTTTACGAACCAGGAATGACACATTCCCCCCTGCTCTGCCTCTCCAGCTGCCACCTGTTGTGAAATTCACTTTGTTCGGCTCCAGCTAATGCCTCACCAGTACCAAATCACCCCCTACAATGGTTCCTACCCTGGCTGCTTCAAGCTCCCAGCCTTGTGGCTCTGTGTGTCCTACATCACAATATTTAACAATTCAACAATTGGGGCTACGTCTGGAGACGTCCTGTGTATCGGTAATCCTGCCTGTGAAAAATGAACTTGTATTCAGCTGACAACACAGAAGCCCAGATAACGCCAACAACAATTTTTTTTTACAGGCAGAGTGGACAGTGAGAGAGGGAGAGACAGAGAGAAAGGTCTTCCTTTTGCCATTGGTTCACCCTCCAATGGCCGCTGCAGCCGGCGCACTACGGCCAGCGCACCGTGCTGATCCGATGGCAGGAGCCAGGTGCTTATCCTGGTCTCCCATGGGGTGCAGGGCACAAGCACCTGGGCCATCCTCCACTGCACTCCCTGGCCACATCAGAGAGCTGGCCTGGAAGAGGGGCAACCGGGACAGAATCCGGTGCCCCGACCTGGACTAGAACCTGGTGTGCCGGCGCCGCAAGGCGGAGGATTTGCCTAGTGAGCCACGGCACCGGCCGCCAACAACAATTTTAAGAACCCAGAATCTAACAAGTAATCAACACCTAACTTTGTAGTTCCTTTAAACTCTACAACAACCTGTGACATGCACGATTTCATCTCATCCGTCTTCAGATGAAAGCACTTCTGCACACTGCATAAAGTCATAACTGGTAAAACTGGAATAGGAATCCAGGCAGTCAGATTCAATAGCCCTCGCTCTCAGTTACTTAAGGGTTCTGTAATATTTTAAAGCCGGAGTATTATCAGACAAACCTGATTTGCTTTACTCTGCCCTTGTAAGAAAATCACATTTGATTAGATTCCCCTTAAGAGCTTATTCACGTAACTTACAAATCAATCACTTACAATACTGTGGTTTTTGCTATGGATGGTCTCCTACTTAATGGTGACTTGATATCATGTTTTGGTTTTATGATGGTGCAAATGTGAAATACATTTATTAGACACTGCACTTCAAATTCTTTATTTTGGTCCTCCCTGGACTATTAAAATGTGACAGAATAATCTTTCCAGCAGCTGGGCAGCACTTCCAGTCAGCGCAGAATCATGGGTAGATTCAGTACCCACAGTGCACTGCAGAGTGAAATAATAGAGTTGGAAGGTTCACTGGTAGTAACTGCCTTTTTAAACTTCCAGTATTTTCAGCTTACACTGAACTTACTGACAACTCATCATCAGTTGTGAAACAACTGTACAGTCACAGATATGTGTGACTGCCATGAAAGTCAATTTTATAATTTTTTATCACCTCAAAAGGAAACCCACACTCATTAGCTGCTCCCCAGCCCTTGTCATGCTCCCCATCTCTCATCAAAAATAGTCCATATTCTGTATCTACTGAGGAGCCTGTTCTGGACACTTTATGTAAACTGCATCCATCTCATTTTTTTCTTTCCCAAATGTGCCTCCTGCAACACAGCATAGTGGTGTCAAAGGCTCACGTACACAGCATCAAGTATTAGGGCTGTACTCCTACTCACTGTGGGGCAGGACCCCCACTGTATGGCCACCACACTTTGTTTATCTACTTACCAGTCAATGGATGTTTGGGCCATTTCCATATTTGGGGTTTTATGCTGCTATAAAGATTAATGTACAAGTTTCTGTGATAGTATGTTTTTATTTCTCATGGGTATTTATGTAGTAGTGGAATTTCTGAATAATATTCTAACTCTGTGTTTAGCCACTTGAGGAACTGCCTAAGTGTTTTCCAAACTTGCTGCACTATTGTACATTCCAACTCAACGTTATGAGAGTTCTGATTTCTCCACATTCTCACCCATACCTGTTATTTGAAAGGCAGTTAGAAAGAGGAAGATAGAGAGAGAGGAGAGAGGAGAGAGGAGAGAGAGACAGGTCTTCCATCCACTGGTTCACTCCTCAAATGGCCATAATGGCTAGAGCTGGGCCGATCCAAAGCCAGATTATTCCGAGTCTCCCACGTGGGTGCAGGGACCCAAGCACTTGGGCCGGGCCATCTTTCACTGCCTTCTCAGGCCACAGAAGAGAGCAGGAACAGAAGTGGAACAGCCGAGACTTGAACCGGTGCCCATATGGGATGCTGGCACTGCAGGCAGCCCCTGATTACAGCCATCTTAAGGAGTCTGAATTGTTATCTCATTATAGTTTTGATTTGTATTTCCAGATACCTAAGTGTGTCAAGAATCTTTTCATCTGCCTATTTGTGTATCTTCTTGGGAGAAACACATAATGAGCTCCTTTGCCTAATTATAAAATTGAATTATTTGGGTTATAATGTTCTGCATACATTAGCTTTATTCTAGTCCCTATGAGATGTATAATTTGCCAATATTTCTCCTATTTGGGGGCACTTTTCGCTCTCCTGATAGTATCTTTTGAAGCACAAAAGGTTTTTCTTTTCATGAAGTCTAATTTATCTGTTTTTCCTTTTGTTATGTGCGTCTTTGGTGTCACCCTCAAGGATCAGCTGTCAAATTCAAGGTCATAAAGATGCATTCCTTTGTTTTTGGCTAAGAATTTCATCCTTTTGGCTCTTACATTTAAGTCTTTGACCCACTATGAGTTAATATTTGCATATGCTAGGAACGAGGAGACAACTTAAATCCTCTTCATGTGGCTCTATGGTGCATGCAGCACCGCTTGTTGAAAAGATATTTCTTCCCCCCATGTAATTCCCCTCTGCCTTCTTCTTAGTATATTTTCTGTTGCTGTAACAGACTCTCGAGGACCAGGCAACTTAAAAAGGAAAGAGGTTCATCTTAGCTCACAGTCCTGAAGGACTGGATGTCCAAGATCAGGTGGTCACATCGGGTGGGGGCCTTCTGCTGCATCACCTATGGCAGACGGAAGGGAAAGTGGAGGAGAGAAATTGAGGCGGACTCTCACTTTGTAACCACCTGCTCTCCAAACAGCTAACCCATTGTCTACCTGGAGCTATGTTTCTCCCTTCAAGAGGGTGGAGCCTCCAGCCCACACATGTCCTCCACCGGAGCCGTCACTTCTCAAGACTACCATCAGCAATTAAATTTCAACTGGAGTTTGGCTTTGACAACCCTTATCAAAGGAGCTGGCCTTGTGGGTTAAACCACTGCCACATCCCATACTGGCATCAGTTCAAATCCCAGCTGCTCC